CATTGGCAAATATGTTCTCCCATGCAGTGGGCTTTCTTGTTTTGTTAATGGTTTCTTTTGCTGTGCAGAAGCTTTTTATTTTGATGTAGTCCCATTTGTTTATTTTCTCCCTAGTTTCCATTGCCCTAGGAGCTGTATCAGTAAAGATATTGCCACGACATATGTCTGCAATTTTGCTGCCTGTGGAGTCTTGTAGGATTTTTATGGTTTCCCGTCTCACATTTAAGTCCTTTAACCATTTTGAGTTTATTTTTTGTGTATGGTATAAGTTGGTGATCTAGTTTCATTTTTTTGCATGTATCTGACCAATTTTCCCAACACCATTTATTGAAGAGACTGTCTTTACTCCATTGTATGCTCTTGCCTCCTTTGTCAAATATTAATTGAGCATAATGGCTTGGGCCTATTTCTGGGTTCTCTGTTCTGTTCCATTGTGCCAGTACCAGAAGTTTTGAGAACCGTGGCTTTGAAATACAGCTTGATATCTGGTATTGTGATTCCTCCAACTTTGTTTTTCTTTCTCAGGGTTGCTGTGGCTATTTGGGGTCTTTTTTTATTCCAGATGAATTTTTGGAGAGTTTTTTCTAGGTTTGTGAAATATGCCATTGCTATTTTAATGGGGATTGCATTGAATCTATGAATTGTTTTGGGAAGTATGGACATTTTAATGATGATGATTCTACCAATCCATGAACATGGTTCTTCCATTTGTTTATGTCTTCCTCTATCTCTTTCTTCAATGTCCTGCAGTTTTCCGAGTACAGGTCTTTTACCTCCGTACTTAGGCTTATTCCTAGGTATCTTAATTTTTTTGGAGCAATGGTAAATGGGATTTATTTTTTTAGTTTCTCTTACTGTGAGTTCATTATTGATGTATAAAAAAGCCATAGATTTTTGGGTGTTAATTTTGTATCCAGCTACATTGCTGAATTCACTTATTAAGTTTAGTATTTTTTAGATGGAGTCTTTGGGGCTTTCTATATACAATATCATGTCATCTGCAAATAATGACAGTTTTACTTCTTCTTTTCCAATTGGATGCCTTTTATTTCTTCTTCTTTCTGATCGCTATGGCTAGTACTTCCAGTACTATGTCGAGTAGGAGTGGTGAAAGTGGGCATCTCTGTCTTGTTCCTGTTCTTAGGGGAAATGGTTTTAGTTTTTGCCCGTTGAGTATGATGTTGGCTATAGGTTTGTCATATAAGGCTTTTATTATGTTGAGGTAAGATCCCTTGATTCCCACTTTGCTGAAAATTTTTATCAAGAAAGGGTGTTGGATTTTGTCAAATGCTTTTTCTGCATTGATTGATATGATTATGTGATTTTTGTCTCTCAATTTGTTTATGTGATGTATCACATTTATTGATTTGTGGATATTGTACCATCCTTGCATCCCTGGAATAAATCCCATTGGGTCATGGTGTATGATCTTTCTAATGTAATGCTGGATCAGATTTGCTAGAATTTTGTTGAAGATTTTAGCATCTATGTTCATCAAGGATATTGGCCTGTAGTTCTCTTTTTTGTGGTATCTTTATCTGGTTTTGGAATTAGGGTAAACATCATTAGACTTGTACTGACTTGTTAGGTGTGCGCAACAGGAAATATTTCACTTTTGGAGAACAAGAAAAATAGGTTTATTTGCATTACGCTTATTAATTTGTGCTGTTTATCAGTGTCTGGTAAGTTAATGTTTATGAAAAAATACTAATTTTTATTAAAATGTTCTATTTTATGTTAACGATTACTCATTTATTTCAGCCCTTTGTATTCAGCATGTCTCTATCAAAATAAACCTACATTTCTATGAAACTTGAAGTTTTTTTGTTTTTTTGTGGCCCACGTCAACTTATTAAACCTTGTTATTTGGCCGTGTTAGCCTTTGAGTTTGACATGCTGGATTTATACCTCTAATTCTAGCTATATATAAGTCCAGAGAGAAAAATTAAACTATTTCTAAATTTTACATAGAAAGCATTGTAAATTCAAGAAAGTTAGAAGTCTATCAAAAATATTTGATTATAAATCTAAGAACCTTGAAATGTTTCCCCCAAATAATGGCAGGAGTTGGGGAGAGGGTTGGAAGTATTGTTAGTTCTACCAGTGTATTTTTTAAAATTCACTGATTCTGTAAGGAGGTTGAATTATCCCCATCCCCATTTACTCAAAAATTTAAAGTTAAAAAGGAGCAAAATTGATTTTACCACCCAGATGGTTTGACTTATTTCCCTTCTACCTCCCTCCCCATTCCCACTGACCTAAGGAGAGCAACTTCAGATTTGTCATTTCTACCTTTTGCCTTTTAATAATGATTTGATAATAATTATCTACACTAATAAAAGAGAAACATGGTAATTAGCGTACGACCGCTACCCTTCCCTTTGGCTAATCAGCATATCCTTATGCAAATTAACTGTCAGCCAAGATGGCGGCTGGCAGCCATGCACTGAAGCG